AATTTATCTAAATACCTCCTGACCAGACTAACGGGACATGTGGAGCTAGACAGCTGAAAAATAACTTCTTCGTTTTCTCTGCGGAGCTGGTCGTTCTTACTTTTATGCACCTGAATTACCGTGAAGCCTTCATTAAGGAAATACCACTTCTTCTAACTCTAGAAATTGATATCGTCAAATCTGAAAAAGCCAGTGAAACGGAGAACATACGTGGTAACATTACGCAAATCCACAGGGTTATCCAGATTGGCATGGCTAACAATTTTATGGATCAAATGTGAGGAACAGGTTCTTTACGGTTGACAGTAGCAGTGCCAAGAATTCTATTGGATGCCGACCTAAACAGCCTCAACAACAAACTTGTTGGTTGGAGAGGGAACCCCAGCCATAACATGGATTCATGGGCCCATCTAATGCCGTAAAAGGTGGGATCCATCACGCTGGGAGACTGGAACTGCTCAATGAAATGCTGTAAGTAAAGAGCTACCTGAATAGGCTCAGCGGGAAAACTATTTTCGGTAGGCTTACAGATAGCGAACTCTTTCCACTTGCGAAATGCACGGTGATACTGAAAAGAAGTGCTGAAGGCCTTAAAGGATCAATATGTCCGTGAGACCCTGGATAAATCCATCTCCTGGCATCACCTGATCTCGCCGGAAACCCGAGAGCAAAAATCTCTGAGGAGGCAAAAAAAGAGCTCAGAACGATATCTAAATAATTGTGAGTAGAACATACAGCCAAGACATGCATGCGAGTCTTGATCGGGTCTAAATCGCAAATAATAAAAACGAAGCCGACAGGCAAGACGTGAAGAAAAACATAGCGAACCTAAACCGGCTAGGGACAAAGAATGAAATAGAAAAAACAGTCTACGAAAGAGTAAATGTAAACCCCAAGGGAATCTGTAATTCTAACAAGGAAGAAAACGTCTATGAACAAGAGCTAGATTTGCCAGGGAGCAATGTGTAATACCCTCTTAGGGACGAGGGGAGCCTGGGACGGCTGAAATCGATTCTAAGCGCTACAACATCGAAGTTTAACGATCTGGAGCCAAAGAGGGAGTTGCGAACTTTCCCTTTGATGAACAGTTTCCGCAACTTGGGAAGGTACACCCAGTCGATGACAAAATTGCTACAGTGGACTCCATCTAGAGATCAGGAATTCCAAAAGAAAGATGACTTGCATAAGGGGACTATTAAGGTCCCTCTGGCATAGCACAGCTCCAAATGCTTAATGACCCTAACAATGAGGCAGACTGGGGGACACAACCAATTGTTGATAAATCCCCAGTCCTGGCAAAACGGGTCAACAGCTTCGGAACACCTAGGGTTAAATCTGGGTAGTTTGGCGTTGTAACTGCAGCCAAACCTGTCCACGCTATGAGGGACCCAAAGCTCGTCTAAGCCCTGAAGATAACATCGTTTAGTTCATAATCATTAAAATTGATAAGCATGCTGATTAGTTCCGCTCTAGAGTATTAAAGGTCCGTGGGAATCCACTTAGGATCCAAAAAGATATACGAAACTGTAGTCAGATGTGAAACGCTGTGGAGGGCGTGCAATTGAAGGTCGACCCTCCGGCTAGTAGAATGGAAGCGACCGTCTGTTGGTTGTCAGAATACCAGATGGCTTTAGAGCTTGCAAACGCTGTTAAGATGAGGCACACAGCCTAAAGTTTCCTCCACGTCGAACTTTGCGATCGACCAGTTCTGGTGAATCACCAGTTCAACCTCCGATTGCAATTGAACGAACGCACCACAAGCTGAATCAAAAGCATCAGAAAATTAATCTTGGTAGGAAGAGACTTAGCCCCCAATATACTTTGCCATTTGTGTCTCCAAAAATCAATTTCAGAAATGGCATCCTGGGTAAGCAATACTACACAGTCCCAAGAAAATCAGGCCGGCAATGCTTGCTACGCGCTTGACGTGAACGCGCGTAGGGTGCTGAAAGGTAGACGTGGTATCACGTCGTGAGAAAGCTTGGAGATTCGCCTTGGTAAAACCATCGATAGCGTTGAGAATAACTCCTAACCAGGTTATGATCTGTATGGGCTCTCACTGGGACTTGTCTTCATTGGTAACAAAGCCGGACTTCAATACGAATCGGAATGCACACCACGACTAAACTATATTTGTCTTGGCGGAAAGAGGATCAGCTCCCCCACCAAGGCCGTAATCAAGAATCAAAGGAAACTGTGAAGAACTCGTGGATACATCGCCTGCATTCATTTACTTAATCTATAATAAGTTTATAGTTGATAATTTTTGAAATTACTCTTTGAAAGCCTTTTTGAAAGCTCAAGTAGTACATAAGCAGTGTAACTAGGCAAGTAAACAAAAAATCAAATTACAGGCTTATTATATAGGCTGCTTATAACTTTTAAAATGGAATATATTAATTAATTTTGATTGGCATTGGAAAATAATTATTACTACATTAACTTGTACATGTACTGTCAATTGACTTCTGCAGTCTGTTACACAAGGAAACCATTAAATACGAGTTCACCATAATCACCAGTCCCAAATTAACACCCAGTCAGAGTTGTTGGTCATAATATGTATAATATTAGTGGGTCAGCAGTGAATTTTGGGTCAAGGTAAGTTTGAGTGTGGTCCTTATTCAGCCGGTTAACATTCGAGTGTTGCATTATGAAAAGGCTGTACTGCAGTAATGAAGAAAGTATGTCACATGGTTTCGACATTCATAATTTTAAGACAATCAGCTTGGGAATGCCAAGAATATTTTGCCCAATTTTACTTCAGAGGGATATGGATTTTACGAGGAATCCACTGTAATTGGTTAGGCTGTAGTGCTCTCCCTGCCTAATAATAAACATTTTATGTATATCAGTATTCTAATTAGTTAGGCAAAGTTGAGTAATAAAAAAAAATATTGCAGGCATGAACAATTTGATTTTAGCTAGCTGGTAAACGGGAATAGAGAGAAAAGTACTTCTTCAAAGATTATAACGATCATTTCAAACAGTTTTCAGCATCCCTCCCAGAAAGGGCTACTTGAAAAAGCTTGGCTGAAAATGATACTCTGCCATGAAATCCCCTGCTACATCTTGTACCAAAGAAGTTCAATTTTGTTTCTGAAATTGAACCTTAAGTGAAGGGGATGTTTTTATTTACAGTTATATAAGTTTTCTCCATGTAACTATGCCCAGGGGNTTTTGTTTTGGAATTTGAACCCAGAGTGAAGGGGATGTTTTTATTCACAACTGTATAAGTTTTCTCCATTTAACTATGCCCAGGGGGAGGGAGAAGGGACCTAACCAAGTTTTACACAAGGAGGCTCTGCCCCAAGGTCATTATACTTTCCCTTTTGTGTAGTGTTTTTTCCAGGAAAGGTTACCCTTTCATATACATGTAGCTTCAAGCTTGAAACCTCATTCACATATCTACAGTAGACCCATTACTTCTCTTTTCGTGGATAAATTAGCAATGCATGTTTAAAATCCCTGCCTTTTCGTCATAACTCCCGCTCTACGTGTGAGCAAAAGCCCTAGGCAAAATACAACATATTTTCAAAAGCGAAACACATGAACCAAAATGGCCGCTCTCAACTTTGGAGGTTTTCGAGGAACTCCTACCCAGGCTTTCCATGTTATCTGCCAAAAGTTTACATCTGAGTGAGTGACACATTTGCATATTTTGCCCCATAACAATAGTCATTTCTACGCTTTGCGTATCCACGACTAAAAATGGTTATGGTAGGTGGATTGACAGTGTTTGGAAATCGCGCTCTTACGCTGGCGCTTTGAAAGAAAACCCTATCAACCTATACGTTTTCTGAAAGCTTAATAGTTATAGAATACAATTCTATCTTTAAAATTTTGTAAAAAGTTATTGTCGCAGTGACATTAAAAGAAATACCCAGAAATGCTGCTTCGCTTAAACTGGTTCTCATCCGCGTGAATTATCAGAGCGGCGCGATTAACATCAGAAATGTTTTCTCATACATCACCCTGAAAAAGGGTGTGTGCGATTTTCCAGATGTGGGTTGGTTTTTTTCCTACATCCTCCTAAAGTTTGCTAGTTTCAATGCGGACGTTTCCTTCTACTAAAGAGGCCATAACTTCGAAACGGAAGCGCTTGATTTAGTGCAAAAGAAGCCTTTATTTGTGTTCAATACTCGACTGATATAAGCTAATATAAATGAGATTATGCTAGTACACGTGTGCTGGCAATGCGTTATACTTATAACAGAGAGCGGGCAAGATGAATCAAATCCTGCGCTGTGATTGGCTACCCGAGCGGGCAAGGTGGAGCTATCTTGCCCGCTCGGGACTACCCGCCGTGNACCTCGACTCCGTCTCGGTCCACAAACACGCAAAAAAAGAACTTGGCCAATATCCAGCCATCTTGACCTCACACTTGGTCAATAACCCATATTTATTACGATATCGTTACCATGGGAAAGACACATCTTACAGTGCCTCTTGTATAACATTAAAAGATATAATTTCTATTTACAAGGCTAAAAATGGTTAAAGGTAAAAAACACCGAACGTTTTCGACACTAGGTCATCACCGGGGTAAGTAAAGACTGTCGGTTAATTGTGTACCTTATTACATGATATTTTACCGACATATTTAATTTCACGAATTTCGCGATTTAAAAAAATTCGCCAAATTAAAGTGACGCGAATAATAAGTGTGACTCACATTTACTTTTGACGTTATTGAACCTTTCATAAAGGCAAATTCAAAAGCCTTTTCAACCTCAAAGACAAAAACACTCACAGATCACACGCAGGGTACAAAGGAGACTGTTCTTGCTGTGACAGCTACATTTGCGAGACCATGAGAAATATGCAGGTTCATCAGGGGCACCCAACCACCGTTTTCTGTCAAATGCTTTTAAAAGCTGTTTCAGGCTATCTGGAGTACTTTTAAAGCTCTGTAGGTTAATTTTAGGTTGCGCTACAAAAATTTTATCTGTTCGGTTATTCTAGGGGAACTTGAGTATTCTCGAATTTATTAGGGCTTTTTTGTCCATTCCCTGAAAAGCTTAGGTCTTATCGCCTGTCCGAAAATGATAGCTGACCTTTTTTCGGTACTCCAAACGACATTTTTTACAATTCGAAAACAATAGACATTAAATATCTCATATCACGAAAGTTCGAGGTGACAATTCTTTTCAGAAAATCAGTGGGGATTAAAGGCCTTCCGAACAGATAATTTACCGAAACGATCCGTTGGGTGCCCCTGGTTCATTGCTACAGATAGGTTGAGAAACTGTTCCCATCGGGAATTACGTAACTGATATATTAAATGCACAATTAGCGGACGGTCTTCACTTACCCTGAAGATGACCTAGTGTCGAAAGCGTTCGGTATTTCTTACCTTTTAACCTCTTTTAGCCTTGTAAATAGAATTATTTTTAAAATCAAAGCGAATATTATGGACATCAAAAGATATCATACTGTGGTTGAATCTTTGCACAGGTACGTAAATCTTATTAGCCGAGTGCAAAGACCTTTCTCGAAGAGTATTAGCCCGACCTTGTATCATCCCGAATTTGACGAAAATTATTAACTTGCTGTGTTAGGAGCATATCATTTTACTGAGCGACAGTGTATCTTTAAGAAATTTCTTTTCGAATGATGACAAAACCTCTCTTTCAGTGTTGACCGTACTGCACCTCAAAAAAGATGAACTTTCATAAGAAAATGAGTTGAATTATTGCATTAAAATTGCATTAAAAGACGAACTTTCAAGTTTTACACAAAAGTAGCCAATGCAAATACAAAAAACAAAACGGCTGAGACTCCCACTTTACTGGAAGAAGACGTCGCCCTGGTGCATCCACCACCGGGACAATCTAGCTTGCAGTCTTCGGCATCGCACTTAAAGTGGCATCCCCCACCGGTGCAGATTAGATGGCATTCTTTTACGCCAGCTGGACAGGTCATGGTGCATCCACCCCCAGTACAACCGAGCATACACTTTTCAGAATCACAGGTACTGTCGCAGCTTCCAGCAGTACAAACTTGATCGCAACTGTTGACGCTCTGTGGGCAGGTCATGTCGCATCCTCCCCCAGTGCAGCCAAGCGTGCATTTTGCAGCATCACAGGAGGCAACGCATCCTCCAGAGCATGTTACGCCATTTGGCAAGTTAGTGTTCATGCAACCTCCAGGACAATCTTGTTTACAGTTGTCGGCATCGCACTTGAAGTCGCATCCCCCACCTGTGCAGATTAGATGGCAATCTTTTACGCTTGGTGGACAGGTCATGTTGCATCCACCCCCAGTGCACAGAAGGTTGCACCTTTCAGCGTCACAATTGCTGTTGCATCCTCCACCCGTGCAAATTTGATCGCAATATTTTACATTCTGCGAACAAGTCATGCTACATCCACCCCCAGTACAATAATTTGTGCAGTTTCCAGCTGCATTGCACTCACTAGGAGGCGAGCAGCCAGTGCAACTTACGTTGCTGGCGGAGGAGACCGTGATCCCGGTAAGCATAAGTGGCAACAGAGGGATGAGCAGTGGTAACGCCATTCCTTTCAGAGCAACAGCCAAATCTATCGGAGAATAAAAGCCATTTGAAATACTTAGTGTACCCATCCAGAATTAACTGTTTATATTGAAAATCTGAGACTCAAACTTTGTTAGCGTCGAGATGAATTTTAGAAAACCCTCATTCTATCGATCTACTTGGGTACACTATTGGGCAAGCCCCAAGCCCTTGCCCCTCTCTGTCCCAAACTTACTTACATAGGTAGCTCGGTGGATGGAAAAACGAACAAGACTGTTAGTCTAAATGGTGGGCAAAAAGGGGTTTTCGTTTCTACTTCTTCGAACTCCCTATATATAGCAATATAGTAGACAAGAAACAGACATTAACCCGCAGGTAGGGTTTGGTTTTATTCCTACTCCATCCCTCCCCCAAGTGGCACAAGGGGAGTTAAGGGGGATGGGTGAACCCCCCTGGGGATATCAAAATTGTCTTGTGTTTAATTGCTGGTTTGCACTGACATGCCATCAAGAATAAAAGAAGTCGTGACTTTTCAATAAATACGACTGATTTATGTATAACTTCGCCAAGATTTGTGTCTCAGAGTTATTTAGCTGAGAAATCTTTCTTCCAAGTTGATATCTCTCGGAATGAGAACCAATATGGCGGTCGTAAAGTCTTTCTCTGAGGTTTGCTAATAAAACGCAAAGATTACTTTGGAGCTCTAACACTTACTACTCCATCTAATGCAGGGACTGTTTTGCAAATAAAAAGTTGAGTCGTCTTGTTACTATGTGACAACTTTCTCGGACTGCTATCAGTTTTGCTTTCAAACACAGTTTGCAAAACGCCAATTTCTTCAAGGGTTGACAAAATGTCAGAAACTATTTCAGTTCGGATCAATTTCGAGACATTTGACTCAATTTTGCTAGCTATTGTAGCTTCAAATCTGAGCCAAAGCTGGCCTGGGTCGTCCAAGTTTGGCTAGGTAGGATACGTGTTGCGCCATTCTTGACCAGGCAAACAGTTTGTCCTCCCCTGAGACAAGCTCAGAATTTTCGAGTCAAGCATTAGAAAATGCCATAGCTACACGGACTTGCCTTTTTTGTAGGTACGAAGAAAAAGGGTTGTATTGTGTGGTTTTCGTAGGATAGTATGGCTGCCGCTCGTATATCGCGGGAGCAGCAACAGTGTGCAAGGTCGACTAGGGATGAATAAACATTTGAAAAGTTCTTCATCAGAATTTTAATCTATTTCTCTAAATTGAAACAAATATATATATTTTTAAATTCTAGGGAGGGGGTTGCCTACCCCCCCCCTCTTCGTCTTTGTACACCTGCATGAGGGTGAAGAGGAATCCATTGCAACATTTACTAACAGTTGGACATTGCACATCCTTACTGCGTTGTAAATTCGGGTTTTTCTGTCAGTCCTGTACGCAAATGAATCGCGTTGTTTTACCTTTGTATCTCGTTCTTTGTATTGAAAAACAGTATTGTGTCTTGTCTTTTATTGCTTTCGTATTACGTTATCTCTGACCGTTACCTACAGAAGGAACTGAAATTTCTCGACTTGTATTATAAGAGAGCACGTCACAACTGTAAGATTATTTTGGTCTAAACGAGCATAGATTTCAATATACAGCAATTTATTCCAAGGAAAACATAAAATTCTGCTTGAAGACATTTATGTTTGATTACTGTCAGAACACGTCTTGAAGAAAAGCTTTGAGTATCATATGGTTCCTTTGGAAAACTTCGCGGGTCAAATAGTATTGCAACGGCCACCCAAATTGCACAAGAGAGCACGGTAACACCCGTTTCTTATTGCATTTTTGTATTACATGCATAACATAATTGTCCAGAGGTTCTTCCTGGCGAGCTTGTTCTTATTAGCGCTGTTTGAAGGAAATTTGCAATGCAAATCAAACGCCTTTACCAGCTGTTTATCCGAGCGTAGTCATGGCACCAACACTTGAAGGGATATTGATTTATTTCGCTGTTTTCAGAAATTAAGTGTTGAATTAACATTGAACTGAAGCAATTCGGTCAAAATATGACGACAAAATTAAGTTGTGATAAAATATGTGGAATTGCAACATTGCTTATTCACTTTGTCTTAGAAAGAGTTTTAGGCACATAAAGCCCGTGCGCGAACTGTGTGCAGTCACTGCGTTCAGAGCAAACGGTTACTCAGTAAGCAGAGGCTTATATGTTATTTCCTTATTACACTACTGCACTGCAACCCCCCACGCCCCCCTCCACCCACTAATGATGCGTGCAGCTTGTCATTTTTCAATGGTTTAGCGCTATCATCTGTTCGAATAAACAGCCAATACCATTACACTATAGCTACTGTA